GAATATGTGCTCAAGCTGCCATCATGAGCGCACAGACTTCAAAGCAATTACGGAAGCTGGACGATCAAGAAGCAGTGCGCCCATTTACTAAAAGCAAATTACACTAAGATATCTTAGCAAATGAGGCAGAATGTCAGTTCAGTGGCTGGCAGAGATGCATGTCGGTGCCTCCTGCCAGCACCCTAAGGCTAGGGATCACATTCTGCAGAAACTGTTTAGGAGGGAATATTGAAGCACAAGAGGCAGGATGGCAGCCTGACGGCCTGTGAATTACGAGACTAAGTAGGTAAACCCTGGCTAGATACATTTTGAGACCTGAGGAAAGACTAGAGGCCAGAAACCTGCAGGAGGGCAGTGGGTGCAGCGGTAGAGGAGAGAGGCTCCGCTCTGATACTCTGGATATGGCAGGTCTGCAGGACAGTAGAGGCCCCAGGATATCCTGGAGCAGAAGCAAATTTGAGACAGGGAGGGAAGAAAGCAGGAAGACTGTGCAGGCTGCTTTCTTGAGCCTGGTGCACACACACAGACTGACAGCTGCAGGGAGCAAGACAGGTGGTCCTCGCCTCATGGAAAACACGGTGCTAGAGGGAGGGAGGGAACCAGAACCAGCCACATAACTGTGCACATCTGGAGGCCTGGGGATGACATGGGAGAGAAACAGGGAGAAAGGGATGGGGGAGGGCCCCTCATTTCCTATACTGAACTGAAAGGGACTGAGCAATCATCTATGCCACCCTTCCTCACTCCGCCAGAGCCTGGGTACCTGGTCTGACCAAGGGCAGGAACTCAGGGTTTCTGCTCTCCCCTGCACCCCACAACACAAGGAACAGCCCCCTTCTTCTCTGCACCAACTATGATTGTGTCCCTCAAACTTCCTTGCACCTATATTTTCCGTGCATCCTTTAGTGAGAAAACAAACACCTCTTGGACTAGTCAGTGATCATTGAGAAGAGCTGGCTTATCTCAGGTGCCTGGTCTCAATCAGGGTTGTCCTCTGAATCTTATTTTGCATTAACTTTTAAAGCTGGCTAGAGCCCTTGGGGTATGGACATGAAATACTTAGCAAGGATCTCAACCAACTGTACCAGAACTTCTAGGTAGGGAGCCCAGGTACCTCTATTATTAAAAATCTCCTAAGTGATTCTAATGTGCAGCCAGGGTTAAGAACCACTGGATTAATGGGATCCAGAGCTGTATGACTAGGAGCAGGGCACACAAGATCAAGGAGGTGAGAGGCTGAAATATTACAATCCATGCAGGGCCTCAATCTAAAAGGGCAATGATGAAACAAACATGTCCAGAAGATGGCAGGGGTGGGGTGGAGGTGGAAAAATCATGTCAGCTGAGTGAGGTTGAGGGGAGGGAGCTATTTTGCTGCTCAGATGCTGGGGAAAGGCTGAGGACCAAGGCCACAGGCACTCTGTTTGCCCCATGAGACCCAGGGTTTCCTGTGCTGTAACAAGTACCACCTCATTAGTGATGAAATAGTGTCACCATGATTACCTGGAGCTGGTGGAGCCAAATGGCAGGTTAGGAATGTCCTCAGACACAGGTGCAAGAGATTTAACTTGCTCTGAGGCACCTGTACCCAGGGAGGTGCTGATGAATCGCCCCCATCCATTATGGTCAGGTATTCCAGGTGTAGGATGCAGGGCTTAGCCCAGCCCCGGCACACACTCAGACCACCCCATCCAGCAGGGGGCATAACACTCACCTCCAGGACTGGCATCCCAGAAACGTGAACATAGCTTCCCGGAACTGAGGCAGCCACCGCCACAAGGCAGATGCTGAAGGGAAAGGAAGCATGTGGGAGAGGAAGAGATGACTACAGGCCCATCCGCTGCTGAGTTAGGCTCCACCCCTCAGGTCCCTGACCCGCTGGGGTGGGAATTCCCAGCACCCTTCCTGCCCTGTCTAGAATCGGTTTTGCTCGTGGTCTAAATGTTCTTTTTTTATACATTCTTGCTGCCACAGGGACTGGCTATAAAGGCAGCCCAAACAAATGGTAACTCTACCAACACTTAAAATATATTCTAGAACAGTAGTACATGAGATACTATGTAACTATTTAAATAGAATGAGGGAGGTCTTTGCAAGAAGCTAGACACAAAATAGTATATACTAGAGGATTCCACTTATATGAAGTTAAAGAACAAGCAAAAAGAATCTATGGTGAGAACAGCCAGAATAGTATCTCTGGTGGAGCTATTGACTCGGAAGGGTGTGTGGTATGTGAAAACATGGGCCCCTTCCCAAGCTCCAACTCCCCCTCTGACCCTATGGGAATATGATGAAGGCCATCTGTAAGTGGACTGGGACCAACCTTGGGAGCCTGGCCAGCTCCTCAGTCAAGAAACTGCCAAAGAGAAACTGCTTCTAGATGTGAGCCGGGGCTATAAATTGCAAAGAAACAGCTAGCATTTTGATCTCACACAGCTTATGTGCGAGCACGTGCCCCCGTATGCCCAGTTTGCTTTGTTTTCTATACTCTATATAACCATGTGCTGAGAAAGCCTATGTCTCAGAGACTTCACTGGCTGGCTGCCAACTGTGCACACATAATAAACCCATGTCTTTCACAGCCAGTCCTCTGTGTTATTTCTTTGGAATCCACAAGCAGTAACAAAGGGGCTCTGGGGAACTTTCTGGATTCTAAGCGTTTTATATCTTGACCTGGATGATGGTTACATGGGTAGAGATACTTGTGTGAAAATTCATGGAGCTATACACTGAGAACTAGTGTCTTTTAAACACTAGATAGATGTTACACCTCATTTAAAAAGTAAAAAAACAGAACTGACTTGGGAGGATGATAAAGAAAAAACCAAAAAAGTTGCAGAATACGTATGACTTCATTTTTGTAAATACACAACCTGGAGAAAAGTCTGGAAGGACAGCAAACCTTTAATAGTGCTTCCCTCTGAGTAGGGGGGCTGGAGGTGAGGACAAACACTTTACACATTTCTCTATTGTTTGCATTTGTGGCATTTGAATCTGCTGCCCCCCACTGCCATCCATTCTGGCTCCTCACTTCATGTCAGCCTCCAGCTTCTCTGTGGGTTCCCTGCCCTTGAAGGCTTGAGGTATGGGTACTTGGGGCAAACTTTGGCTCCATATCTCAGTTTAAGACTTGGGCTTTGCAACAGGATATGTGGACATGGCCCAGCTCAGGTCAGCCATGGTCTCTGCTCACTGGCCCACAGGACCAGCATCCCACTCAACTGCCTCCTGGGATGAGCAAGGTCAGGTGCTTCCCCCTGAACTGACCCCCTTGGAAGGCACCATTCACGTCTGTGAGCAGAAGTAGAGCACGCTGAAGAAGGAATAAGCAGGTTGAAAGGTAGGACTCAAGGCCCCTGGCCATGCTGTTTTCACTCCCACCCAGTGTCCTCCCTCTGAGTGGTCAGATACACTAATTAGTCTTCACAGCCTTGGCTACAATTGATCCTGGAGGTGAATTCCGGTCACACCTCAAGCTAGGCAAATGAACCCTTGCTCTGTTCCCCCTTTTTAATATGGATGTGACACCTGCAGGCTACAGCTTGTCGCACTGTGAGAATTATTTCTCCATTAAAATGCAGGAATTGGAGCTTTGCCCAGAAAGGGAAGCTAAAAATACTGCTCTCTGGGGTACTTGTCACTGGGGACTTAGTGGCCACCTTCCTCACCCCCCACCCCCACCCCAGGCAAGTCTCTTACCTGCTGGGTTGCTCCCAGAAGCACTTAATACAGTGTCACCTCTAAGCCTTAACACAGCCCTGTCAGAAAGAAAAGGCACTGGTAATTGTACCTGTTTTACAGATGGGCAAACTGGTTCACACAGCTTGTTCTGGGCCATGGCACTTTATCTACAAAATCACATAGGGAGCATGAATGTGCAGCCTCATCTGCAGGGGAGGAAAGATAAGGCCACCTGTGTGCCCAGCACTTTATAGTTTGCAGGGTATTCTTACCCACTGCCTGTCCAGCCCTCACAACAGTCCTATGAAATGAACTACCATCATCCCACCTTATAGACGGGGTTGAAGCCCAGTGAAGTGAGCAGACTCGAAGTTGGGGATGGGGGAAGCAAGGCAGAGACTCTCATGGACCTTTTGATTCTAAAACCAGTGGTGGAACTTCAATCAAGGTGACCGTCTTACTCCCAGGACCACCTACTTTATAACAAGTGCTCCAGTTAGTAAAGAATGTCACGTTCTTTTCAGAAGAGGGCTTGTCACCCCTACTTAATAGATAAGAAAATTAAGGTTCAGAAGTATGAAGGACTTGGTCACAAGTTAGTAGCAGAGCCAGGAACAAAAGTCAAGTGTCCTGACCCCCAGCCCTGGCTCCTCCGGCCACCCCAGGGCCTGCGGAGCTCTGGGGCCAAATGGCTGGTGCTGAGATTCAATGCCCCAGGGGCAAATGAGCACAGTGTCCCACAGCCCGAACGTGGTTCTCTGGATGCCTGTTTGCCTGCCACGTTCACCGCCCCCTTCTCAGTCTTTGGAAGTGCAAAGTGGTGGAAACCTCAGGCCCACTTTTCATATAACAAAAGTAAGGCCCAGGGGAGCCAAATGCCTTGCTCAAGGCAGAACGAGGTCCTGGAACTCTGACTCAGGCCTGGTGCCCATTCCACTGGGTCAGCCAAGAACAGCATGCAGAACTCCTTTCCTGGTGTCTACTTCTCACTGGGTCTTAGCTTCTCCATCTGCAAAATGGGGCATTAGCAGAGGCCCTAAACAAACCTAGGGTTGGAATCTTCTGAGACAAAAAATTAGGGGGTGTTTTAGGAGTGGATGGAGCCCTACACAGTAACCAAAGGGACTGGTTTTCTGTATGGCAAACTTCACTTTACCAAGAGGGAAACTGAGGCCAGGGAAGGAGCCACATGGCTCCGGAGACCCAGTGCTGTAAGGATGGTGTGAGAAAGGAGATCCAATCCAGCTGCGATGGCCAAGAAGAAATCCTTCCTGCTGAGTCCTGTTGCCTGCTCTGTTTCCATACACTTCACAGAGAAGCAGCTTTCTACAAAGGCATTTATTTTTACCCAAATACACCCCCAGTTAACAAAATTCCTCTGAGTCCCACATTTAAATGATAAATCCCCACATCTTCCATTTCTGGTGAAGGGATATGTCAGTGGGTGGACATTAGAATATCAGAAGTTTATTCTAGCAGAGGCTAGGGGCTGGCCAGAGACAGGCCAGGAGATGTCTGCCCAGCCCCAGAATAGCACCATGGTGGGGGGGCTATATCCGGCCCCAGAGGCCCCAGGTTTCCTCTTTGTTGGGCTCTTGGGGTCTGTTGGGCCTTGCTTGAGTGCCCACCTGCTCATCCTGGAAAGACACCTTGGGGACCATCAGCTTCTCACCAGCTGTAGCGAGAGGCTCCATCCCTTTCTCCAGGTTTCTACCCACCCCCCTGCCACTCTGGGTAAGACCTAGGGATGGAATGGGGGGTGAGGTACCTAGGTAGCTGGGGCATAGAAGAGGAGTACAGTAGGGAGCAAGGCAGAAGGCCCTCTCATGAACCGCTATTTCCTCACAGGTTTCTAGCTGAAGGGCAAGCTCCTTGAGGGAGCAGCTTGTCTTTTCAAGGAGGGTTCACCACACCTAACACATTGCCCACACCCCATGGGTGCTCACTGAACATTACTTGAATGGGTAAACAAAAGGCAGAAAAAGCAGAGGGACAGAACCTGGCCCCCCTGAGACCCAGTGTGACCAGCACATGTTTCCCGTGGGGACAGTGGGCAGAGGAGGACTCACAGGGTACAGACCAGGGCATCATGGAAAGAGATTGGACCAGGGGAAGTCTGTACATGTTCCAGCACGTGCACCTGTGTGTCTATGCATGCCTGGGGAGGGGACCTGTCTTCACTTAGTAGGGGAAGGAAAGGCCAACCTTGGGCGCCAGCATGGGAGAAAGCAAGAGGAACACCACTAGACTCAAGGAGATGCTGAGGCTGCAGTGCCCTAGTCTGAGGACATGGGATTACAGACAGGTCAGGGGAAGGCTGGGAAGTGATAACTAGTGTATCAGGGCCACTGGAGAAACAAGGCAAGGGGTGACTATATGTCATGTCTTTGGAGAAACAAGGGAGGGGCTCAGTCTGAATATTGTGTGCTCTAGAGAAAAAAGGCAGCCAGATGGTCCATGTAGCATATCCACTGGAGAAACAAGGTGGTTGGGTGGTCTGTGTATTGTGTCCATAAGAAATAAGGCAGCAGGATGACTTGGGAGTCATGTCCATTGGAGAAATGAGGCTATGAGTGGTCTATGTATCGCATCCTTTGCAGAATGAGTAGACCCGCCAGGGTGGGAGCCATCTGTTGGGGGCAGGGAAGCCCCAGCCCAGGGATCACACTGAGGCCCCAGCGCAGCCAGAGCGGGAAGCCCAGGACAGGGACAGCAGCTCCCTGGTCCTTCTGGTCAGGCTATTTCTTGTCCATCACCTGAATTTCATTATGGGAAGAAAGAAAAGGGGGAAAAGCATTAAGTGCAAGAGTTCCACTCTTGGGACAATGCCAGAACCCCAGGCACATGGTCCTATGCTTCAGGATGGGGAGTGTGTGTGAGAGTGGCCACAGAAGTCCAGCTCGCAACCCCCTGTGCTAAGCACTGCCCTGAGGCCCAGAAAGACATAAACACAGGAGCTGGGCATCAGACAGACCACAGGGCACCTGAGGGAGACTGCCCAGTCCTTGCCAGCCTTGCTCAATCCCCACGGGTCCACTCATCCCAAACACTTCCCTCCCACGGGTGCCTTTGCCTGGCACACTTTTCCCTTCCCATCTCTCCCTGCCTGGTTCACTTCCATCCACTAGCAGGAAACCCTTTCCAACTTCTCTTTCCCACACTGATTTCCCTAACAGCCATGCTTTGGTGAACCTCCTTCCCCCTGGCTTCTTGTCTCCATGTAGAGGGCACCTCATGGATTCACAGCCCTGGCCTCACCCCACTCCATGGCCTGAATGGAGAGTTTAGAAGGAGGGCAGGGGCATGTGTGACCCCACCCTTCCCTCTTCCATTCTTTTAAGGTCTGTCTGTCTGGGAAAATAGCTCTCCCTCCTGGGGACTGCCCCTGTGCTTACCCAGCAAGTTCAGAGCCAGGGGCCCAGAGGAAAGCTAAACACAGGGATGAGCATCCAGGAATTTCTAACAGGGACACCAACATGACTTGAAAAAAATCTAAGGCTCCATAACCTTTGGCAACCAACCTTGATTTTCTAGGTGGAAGTCACTCAGATTTAGTGGCAAGATTTTGCATCAAGAAATATTTTGTTCAAAATACACACAGAAACACACACAGAGATGCACATATTTATACACAAACATACATACATACATAGATGTGGCTGTTGGTTACTCAAGAAGAAAGAATCTCAAACTAACCTCCAACCAACCATTTCCTAATGTAACTTCTTGTTATAATAACGTGAATACCAATGATTGTTAACATTTACTAACCACCTATGTACCAGGTGGCTGCCCAGCTAAAAACCACATTTCCTAGTCTCACTTGAGTTAAGGATCATGTGATAGATTCTGACCAATGTGATGTAGACAGAAGTGCCATGAGCTATGTCTCAAGCCCTAGAAAAAGCCGTACTCCTTTTCTTCTTCCCCCTCTGCTTTGGGGCCTTGGGGCAGGTGTGTGGGAGCTGGAACAGCCATGTGGACTTGGGGACAGAAGCATCAAGTTGAAGAGGGCAGAAACCAGGTAAGTGGAAGCTGGCTCCAGGACATTGGTGGCCTTAAAATCACCTATGCTTAGACTGTTACAGGAGAGAGAAATAAGCTCTTGTCCTAGTTAAGCCTGTCATATCTGTGTCCTAATAGAGCAGCTGGGACCTTGGTTACTCCACCCTCTGCCACTTTACTGGGGTGAGGGGAGCAGGTCACTAGTAAGGGGTGATAATCTCTTCCCCATGACCCTCTCTGCCTCCTACGCACAGGTGCGCACACACACACACAATCTCAAGCACCACATGTCATACCTTCTTTGTTCTCAGAGTGTTTCAGAGGCCTCAGGACTGCAAAAAAGGAAGGAGCACATGGTGAGGGGAGCACTGTGGAAAGCGGTGGGGTAGAGGGTGGGGTAGAGAGATAGGAGCTTAGGAAGCGAGGGTCAGAGGGACTGGGAGGAGGAGGCAGGAGAGTGGGGGGAACATCATAGCACCAGGGAAGGGGCCCCAGGCTGCTGTCTCAAGTTCCAGCTCCACTCTGTGGCTTATCACTCCCCTCTCTGGGCCTCAGTTTTCTGCATCTATAGAATGCGAACAACTACTCTGCCCTCCAGTGAACTAGAGATGTATCTGCTCCACAAATACAGTGAAGTAAGGAGCTAGAGGGGGCTGCAGCTGTCCCCAGGACCATGTGGAACAGACACTGACCAAATCTCTAAGCCACCAGCTTCTCTCCTCCCTTCTGTCAACTACATCTGCCTCTGAGTGTGAAAAAAGGAGGCTTGATCCCAGAGCTGTGTCCACACCCAGACACCAAAGGCAGAGAATTAACTGGCATAATTTATAGCAGTCCCAGGTGTCAAATTCTTGCCCTTCCTTCTATGGGTGTGGGGAGGGAACTGGTGTCAACTGGCATCATCCCAAACGGCTCAGCAGGAACATGCCTCTCCCAGCCCAGGAGCCAGAAGAGAAGGCAATGAAGCCACCATGGCCACAGGACACTAGCACCTTTGGCACCCAACCCTTGCTGGGCTCCCAGTTTGTGTCCCCACAGCACCATGACCTTTGCAAACCCCTTTCCTATCCAGTCACTCCGGAGAGATTCAAAACAAGCTTCTGGTGTCATCAGGTTACAGATAGGAAATTGAAGCCCGGAGGAGCAAAGCACTTTGACCAGAGTTACCTAACCTCTGGCCAGAATGGGACTATCTTACACTATGTGCCTAGTAACAGGATTCCAAGGTACTGAGCACTTACTTACTAGGCACCAGGTATGATACTAGGCCATTTATAAACATCATCTCATCTAATCAAACCCACACAACCAATGAAGGGAGGCAGCTATTATGAGGAAACTGAGAGAGATGAGGAAGCTGAGGCCCAGAGAAGCATAGCTCAAGGCCACTCAGCTTATATGAGCAGGAGCTGAAACTGAAACTCAGGCTGCCTTATCCTCTGAGCCCTTCCCCCTCCCCTAGGAATCCACCAGACCCCACAGTCCAGGGTCTCTAGGGGTGGAGCTGGCTGGCAGATGGATAGAAGTAGGCAGGGGAAGTGAAACAGCACCTGGGAAGGAATCAGGGGAGATCCATCTCCAGGCCTAATGCTGGGCAGAGACTAGACTCACCTGGGTGGGGAGGCCTCAGTTCACAGGACACACTTCATTCAACCTCAGGCAAATGTGGCTCCTTCATGTCCTGAAGTCCTCTCCCCTGTCCCCATGTCCTTTCCTCAGCCAATAAGGCCAGCTACAAGCTTAGACTTACCAGTCTTAGATCCTTCTCCATCCCCATCCTGGTCTTCGGCTCCTGGAAGAGCAAACAAAAACTTTCTCAGCCCCATATCCATAACTGCACTTCCCTACCCGGGGTGCAGGAGAGGGAGTAAATGGGAAGCAGGGATGACCTCTGATAAAGTGTTGGATCAGAGTCAGAGCTTGAGAGCAAGTAGAGCAGAGCAGGGCCCTGGGGCAGGATAAAAGAGCTCCCAGCGTGGAGCCCATCACTCACCTAGCCAAGGACCACCTACTCACCTGCAGCAGTCTGCGACCCATCATCTCACCTATCCCCTCACCCCCCAAGCCAGTCAACCACCACCCTCCAACATGTACCCCCACCCATCTACCGTCCACTCATCTTCTACCAGCCCTCCAGGCCCTGCTGCACAGGCAACGCCTACGTGTCAACTGACCAGCCTCTTCCCTAGTCACATACTCACTGTCCTCCTGACACCGTCATCTTTACCTCTCACCATCAACTCTCATGTTTACCCAAAAAAACCTCTGTTAACCTGTGTACCACCCATCAGGGTCAACTCACCCATTCACCAATGTCCACTCCCTCACCTGCCACTCAACAGCGTCAACTTACTCACCTACCAAGGTCAAGCCACCCATCTACTGATATACCAACCCCAGCCCAGCTCTGCTCCCTTGAGGCAGACACACCCTCACATAGTGACCCCAAACCCATGAACATTCACACTTGTGCTAAATTTCCATGTTCTAAACCTCTGCTCTCACTCACAGACACACCAATGGGAGTTATACTCTCACAGTCACACTTGTTAGCACAGACATATCTTTCACCTCCTTACCCTTCTGCCTTACACATCCACCACTCACTTCCAGTCACACTCATATACACACTCAACTTGCTATACTTGCACACTCACAGGCAGACTCACTTGTTTACACACACAGGACATATTCAGCCTCAAGGTCATACACACACAATCTAGCCCCACTGGTGCACCCACATTCATTCTGTCACTGGAAAGTAACACTCATATTGATGTCACAGGCACACCGGCATACCCAAAGACATGTGCACGCACATTTGCATACCCCCTCTCACCTGCATTCTCCTCTTCACAACTCTGCTTGATCTTTCTCCAGCACACGAAGGCCAGGGCCACCAACAGTGCAACAAGACAGATGGAGAGTCCCACCGTCACCCACAGGGCCTCAGGGGGGAATGTCATGAGCTGTCCTGGGAGGGGCAGTAGAGAGAATGGGGAGAAATCATCATGCTTGGCCCCACAGCCATGAGGACAGTACCCTCTGGCTCCAAGGTGTAAATGGGGGAGCTCCCGCCCTCTCTGGACCCCAACACTTATGCACAGAGCTCACCTAAGTTCGCATGCCTCTCCCCTGCTCATCCATACACCCTCCAAACCCTAACACAGCCATAGCTGGTGTGAACATGCCTCAACCTGGCAGGGTTAAAGAGTCTGCCACTGGTGATGCTTAAGAACTTTCTATGGCTCCCTCCTGACCTGAGAATAATGCTTTGATCTTTTTCAGATGATTCAAGGACCTTGATAATCTAGCTGCTGCTTACCCTCCCCAGCCTTTGTACCTAATTCCACTAAAGGAACCTCTGCTCCAGCCAAACAGGTGTCTGACCATTCTTTGCAGAGACAACCGGCTCCCTACAGCCCCCATACATTGCTGTCAGTTTCCCTGACCTAAAGAGTGCTCACAAGCTCTCCACCTAGCTTAAGTCTACCTCCTCAGGAGGCCCTCCCTGACTGCTCCAGCCCCACCTGGTGATATTCCCCACCCTAGAGATCAGGAGTCGGCAAACTAAGGCCTGTCAGCTAAATCTGGCCTATGGCCTGTGTTTGTATAGCCTGTGAGCTAATTTTTGTAAAGGGTCACCAAAAAATGGAAAGGGCGGAACAGAAGGAGATGGAAAAGGAACAGCAGCAAGAGATGGTGCATGGCCCGCAAAGCCTAAAGTATTTACTATCCAGCCCTTTACAGAAAGTGTCTGCAGGCCCTGCATGTCGCTGAGGATGGGCACTGATGGCGCCAGAGTGAGGAGCTTGCCATGGTGTGAAATGCTGAGGGCCTTCTGTTAACGCTCTCAAGGCAGACGGAAGGAGCTGGAGTGCCCACACCTGGGCGAGGCCAGCCGCTGCTCTGAGCGTGCCATCCTCCAGCCCAGGCCCTGGGCCCCTGCTGCGTCCTGAGAAGGTACGACAAATCTAACCGACACAGTGCTGCTTTCCTGTGCTCTCTGGAGAACAGAAGCACCCCAGGCATAAGCAGCCTGGGGGCCAGTGGCTCCTGTGAAAGGTGACAGCTGTACCGAGAGCAGTGCCCTGAGCAGTGGAGATCCTGGCATAGACACGGGCATTTGCAGTAGATGGGCATTTGCAGTAGATGTCACTTTCAGCTGGCATCGCTGGCAAAGTTGCTGTTCTGGGCATTGGAAGCAAAGGAGCTCATCACCTGATAAGCAGGAGGTGGGGACAGCAGCTGATATGAGGGGTCAGGAGGGCCAGTCTATGAAACCCCTGGGGAGCCCAGGGAGGGGCTCCTGTAGCAATGACAGATTAGAGCCAGAGAAATACCCAGGGGGACAGAGACACTCTTTCTGTGTTCACCCTAGGCTGGCGCCTGGAACACAGGTCAGAGTTGCCCTCATTCAATCAATAAAAGAGCAGGGCTCAGATCTGTGTCTTCAGACTCCACATACAGTGCCTGCTCCATAAAGGCCCTGCACACAGCACACTCAACTTCACTAACCTTCAGGAGGTGTGGAGAGACTAGGCTACAAGACTGAAAGTCTGAATCCCAGAATGTTTTACAAGGCACAAAGCTGCCCAAAGCAAAATACAGGCCAACGATCCAAAGTAGGCCAGACCTGCTCTAACAAAAACAGGAGGCTGGGTGGAGCAGAGGAGAGAAAATTAGACTGAGAGGCTAGGAGTTGAATTCTGGTCCTGGTTCATCTGCTCACTGCAGGGTGCTGGAGCCAAGGTTGACAGACCCCTAATGCATGAGTTTAGAGGGGCCACACACCCTCAAAATTTAAATGCAAACTACTGCATTTATCATTTATCCAATTTTCAAAGAGATGCTTAACCCCCAGAAGAGCCAGAGCCACTGTGCTAGTCTGTGGCTTGAGGAAAGTCCTCTCTTCTCCCAGAGCTTCAGTTTCCTCATCTGTGAATGAAAGCACTTTGAATGTTAGTTACTAAAGTTTTAAGTAAAGATTTTTGTCTTTAGTGGGATAAACATTCTCCCTGCAATTACATTTATACTGACAAGGCCTTTCTGCACAGTGTGACAAATACCCAATTCACCCGTGTGCAAATTACCAGGAAGCCCACCAATCCTTCAAGGTCCTCTCAACTCCCACCTGTCCCTGGAGAATTCTCTTGACCAGTCCAGTCAATCTCACTATCTGATAGTTCTGATTCTCTCCTGCAAACACACCAGACAATATGCTGCTCTTTAAAAGGTCAAGGAGACCCCTCAGAACATCCAAAAGCTTGGGGCAGTGACTGCCACACAAAGAGCAGCAACCCAGGGGGTCTCCAGGAATAGGGTGGGGTCAATCTTGGGGAGGGGCAGGGCAGAGGAAACACAGCCTTGAAGGAAGGAAACACCTGAAAGAGAAGGATTGAGTTTGAATGCCTAGAAGATAAGTGAAGGCCTTGCAAAGCCCAGGTTCGCTAGGGAGGAGAAGACAGACAGGAATAAGTCAGCGAATCCTGAGGCTTGTGCAGAAACTGGGGACCAGGTGCAAATCAGGACTTGGGTGG